TGTTCTGAATATGTGATTTTGGTGTCCAGTATTACGCCTTTACTTTAGTCCTTTACAATTTTGCATTTGTCTACTATTTCGTTTCCTAAATATATGTTTATGCGAGGGGTTCCAATTTTTCTACTAAATGTTATTGCGTTACATTTTTTTTGGCGTTGGGTTGGAGTAGATTTTTGCTACACCAGGTGTAGAATTGATTTATTTCATTCTCGAATATTTCTGCGTCGGAGGCATTTCTTATTTCTATGAAGAACTTCATGTCGTCTGCATACACAAGTACTTTAATGTTCATAAGTAGACCCAAACGAGATCCCTGGGAAAACCCCAGTTTATTTTGAAAGCGTACAATTTGCTTACAGTTTGTTAAGTAGGACTGGAGCCAGTTCAAAGGTCCGCAGCTTTGAAAAGTAATAATGGTATGTCGATTCTGTCAAATGATTTACTGAAGTCAGTGTAAAGAGCTTCTACGTGGTTGCCATTATCCAGGACATTCAGTGTAAAAGAGACAAACTCCAGAAGATTAGAAGCAGTGGAGCGGCCCTTGAAGAAACCATGCGTTGACTTGTTATTTGGTTTTTTACTTGTTGATAAATTTTGTCGTGTATGATAGATTCAAAAAGTTTTAGAATACAAGACATAATGGCAATTCCACGGTAATTTCGGATGTCAGATTTCGTGCCAGATTTGAAAAAAAAGGCACCAAAAAAAGAGGCATTCCAAATTTCAGGAAATATTGAATATTTCAAAGACATGTTAAGATGGTTCTAAAGGAAGGCAGAGTTCTTCTGAAAGATTCTTTAGGAATACAGGTACTATCCCATCAGAATCACTCATTCTGTGTTGGGCCTCTATTGGGCCTCTAGATATTTGTTAATATGGATACATGTAAATAACAGTAACCCGATGATTAAAACGGAGCTCGTTGGCCTAGTGTCAAACGTTTTTGCTTACTGAGCAGCTTATCGTTTATCAACACGAACCCTGCAGCAAAACCAACTCTCTTATCCAACATCTCAGTGATTCCTCGTGGAAGTGCGGATGTGTTCTCGGCTTCCATCAAAGCGAGAGTCACGTCAACACATTCCTACCCATTTCTTTCTCGACCTGTGTTTGGGCGCGGCCGGCGCTGGTATTGCCTTGTTTGAGATCACCAGTTTTTACACATTGAGGATGATTGCTAGTACCAAGCATCGTCTATTGGTTCTCTGTGTAATTACAGCTGAACTGGAAAGTACAGAGTAGCAACCGTGGGCGGTTAATCATGCTCATGCGTAAATTTTAGAGTATGCAATTTACTCAAATGTAACTGATTGGACTGAACTATATCGTTGGGTCGAATCTCTCACACTATCTTTAACGTACACAGATTAAGCTACATTCTTAGCTCCTAGTACAGGGTGTCGACTACATGGAAAAACCAGGAAAATCAGGGAATATCAGTTTTAAACAGCTTAATTACTGGTTGTAGTTTAAGGATGGTCTTTCATTCCAAATTTCAAATAGAGTTGCGAACTTGTGGTTGTTCAATGTTTGATGTTGCATTTTTGCAAGTTGAGCTTACTCAAATAAGAAAGTTTTTCGATGATTTTGAGCCTATTATAAATTCAGCTCCCACTGGGTGTTGTGACATTCCAAAGTTGAACCCAAATAAAAATTAATTTTCGTAGAGACTTATGGGAGCTGTATCCAACAAAAATCCCTTGAGCGCCTTTGAGTTAATGCAAGAATGATTAAGAGTTAAGCTGGGCTTAGATAAGGCAAGTCATTGATCAAGTCAGTTGAATTCAATTGACTTGAAAAGTTAAGACTGTTTCAACTTTTTGAAATTCGAGTGAGTTGATCAAGTCAGTTGAATTCAACTGAGTTAATCAATTGACTTGCCATGTGTAAACCCAGTTTTTTTCTGAATACTTCTAGGTCTTGTTCCATATTGTGTTCTTAACAGCTTGATTAGCTCAGAGAACTGACTAAATGAGAATTCAGGATAATGGTCTTGCTTGAGAGGATTTTTTTATAGCTTGGTGCAACACTTTTATTATTGAATAATGATTCAAATATACGTACACAAGCTTTGCTTTGCTTTGTGGCTGTATTAAGTATTTTTGGTCTTCATCGTGAACCTGGTTAGCTCGTCAAATTAGCCTATCAGTCAAGTTTTAGTATTGTAATGTTGCTGCTATTGCAATTTAAATGGAATTAACTTACAGAATGTTGGAGGTGAAAGCGCTGTTTTTCACGATTTCCCACCGGAGGAATCCACCCGCGAATTAGCTTTTGGTTAAGCGTATTATCCGGAATAATTTTCTTGCGGAGCTGGGTATCAAAATGTGGTCAAGGCAAAACAAATATAATGGGATTAAAAACAAGTGTTTCATATGTGAAATGCTGAATGACCAGGGAACCGGGATAAAGCTGGGAATTTGAAATCACCGGGAAAATCCGGGAATTTTTGAATTTTTCCAAAACAAATTTGAGCAGATTTTAGAATCAATTCTAGAGATAACACCAAGGTATTTCAGAGAATATTTTCTAGGGAGCTTTAGGAAAACCTCTAAGAGAGTTTTTACTAGAACTCCCAAGAGTGAAGAGGATTCCAGGATTCTTCCGCGTCGCTTAGGAATTTTGGAAGATCTATAAGGAAAGTCGGAGTATAATTCCAAGCGTATTTCGAATGGAATTTTTAGAGAATGTTAATGACAATTCCATGCAATTTCCAGGCGAACTTAAAGGAGAACTTCAAGATAATTCTGAGCAAAATTGAATACAATTCTCGATGGGAGGATTTCCTCTGGTGTTAGCAGGAAAGGGGGATTACAAATTTTGTTCGCAAAACCTAGGTGGCCCTTTACACTTGTCGGTCGAGAATCTGAGGTGGATTGCATGGAAATTCTACCGAGAGTATCTAGTCTATTGTAAAACAAATCAAGGGATTTCCAGAGAGAATTTCAGATTTAGAAGAATATAAGCCTGAATATAAGTTTTTAGAGACAAATTTTGAAGACTTCAACCCGTTACAGAAACAAATTTAAGATCCAGCAAAGGTGCTGTTGTCTTGGAAATAACCAATTTATCCTTCAGCTTAATCGCATTCATGGTTAATTATGCTTAATTAAAATACCTAAACCGCGAAAATTTCCAAAATTCCGGGAGAGTAACGAACATTTTCGATGAATGTATGCCCCTAGGGTATAAAACGGATCCTTTCCGGTTTTGGCAACACGAGATTTCTGTCTTTTTTGCATTCTATAAAATGTGTCGAACGCTTTATTTATTTTGAATTTCTACTGGACCACTCTTCATGGGTTAGAGGTCCGTGTGGTATTTCATGAAAAAATGTCCATAAAGCACTGAGGAATGTTACAGCTGATGGGGTGGTATCACCGACGAACCGACGTGACAGCTCATACAAGCTACTTTCAAATTCGTGCCCAAGACTCCATATTTAAAATACGTTAAACGCTACCGACATCTACTCATCCGAGCGCGTCATACCATGAGCAAGGACACGAACCCTTGGTTTGCGTCTCACCTCGTTAGACAGATCTGATCGCTCGTTTGAAAGTTCGAATCACTCGTCTGACAATTCGAATTGTGGACAAACGGAATGCTCCTGTGGCATGTCAAATCAGGGAATTTTGTTTTCTTCGATGAGTCGCTATTTACGGCCTCGATAACACAGACAAACAGACATAACACTCGCAAGTTGTTCATCGAACACGCATTTAACGGTCAATTTAAATGTTTTTCACCACCTGTGGCGCGTATAGTTTAGATACACTACCGCCATCTGTTCAGCGTACTGCCCAGCACAGTATGCTCAACAGATGGCGGTAGAGTGTTTTAGCGATAATGGGTTATCGTGAAAATTATTCAATGTGTTACGTCTGTTTGTCTGTGATGATAACTTAACCACAGATAAACAGACATAACGCATGGAATATTCATCACTGTAAAACATCGTCACTAAAACATTACCGCCATCTGTTGAGTGCGCTGTGGTGGGTAGTACGCTGAACAGATGGCAGTAGTGTGTAAACGTCAAACACGAGGTAATTGACTATGCGCGCCACAGGTGGCGGTACTACCAACTACGATATTTTTAAATTGATCGTTAAATGCTTGTTCAATGAACAACTTGCGAGAGTTACGTCTGTTTGTCTGTGATGATAACTTAACCTTAATTACAAAAATTAAAGAACCATACTTTCCCCCACAAGTCATGATTCCAATGTCTCCATAGCATGAAGAATGTTTGCAATTTCATTTGACCTACTCAAATAGAAGAAAAGGTACCGCCAAAAGTACTTTCCCCATTTTACTGCCTAACCGATCCACCGGATAAACATCGAAAGAAGCGAGAGAGAGTAAGAGGGGGAAGGGGCAAGGTAATAGACTTATATCGCTCCTCATGATCTAATAGCAACTTTTCGCACAATCGTCTTCCACTCTTCTGCTTCGCTCTTTTGCACCTGTTAAGTGCTGTAAATGTAGCAAAAACAAATCCCGCGCATTTTGCAATCACCCCGACGATAAGCGGAATTCTTTAAACACAATTTACCATAAAATGCAAAAAGTGTATAAAGAGCGCGCGGTGGTCCAGGCAGTCCATTGCTCGATGATCCCGATTTGTGCGCAGCGCACTCTTGGCCTGCTCGCCCCTGCCGCTCCGCCCCACGTCGTAACGGAATGCCTAATAACCATCCGCTGAGCGTCTCGCACCTCGGAGAAGTAGACGGCAGTGGAATAGGTCTGGGATGTACGGTGTTTTGACGAAGCGGCCCACAACCAGCCAGCGATGAGAAATGGAAGTAGTTCAAAGATGCGTACCGTGTGATAACGGATGGGATGTCGGGTTTTTTTTTCTTTTCGTTTTTTTGACAATCAAACCATAAACTGTTTCGTTTTCAGCAGGGGGGAAAAGTGGGGTTACTAACGGTTGGTGAGCGAAAAGTGTATCTGTTGGTGTACTAATTTGGTGTTTATTTATCGTTTGATTTCAGGCACAACGAGCGGAGAATACAGTAATGCAGGCGCTGGAGTCGCTGAATGACAATCAGGTGAACGACTTCCTCAGTGGCAAGTCTCCGCTGAATCTGAGTGTCCGTCTGGGGGACCACATGATGCTGATTCAGCTGCAGCTGAGCACCCTGAATCCGTCGTCCCAGAGTGGAAGTAGATCCAAGACACACAAGTCCCGTAGTCTGACGGGAGCAGCAGGTGGCAGCTCGACTGGAGCTAGCACTAGCCTAATGCAAGCTTCGTCCTCTCGCAGTAGGACGACCATCCCGATAGGATTGAGGCGCGTAGCGACAACTGACGGTGGAAGTGCGTCGGGTAGTAGAACCATCGTTGAACACGTGACCGAGTCACAGACCTTCACCAAGCAGGAACTAGAGAATATCCATAGTATAGTGAAAAACCTTGCCGAAAGTGAGAACCCGACAATGGCAATTGTGCGTCCCAGCGCACCGGAACCAATGGAGACTGAACCGGAAGCGAGGCCGTTGGCCTCGGAATCCCCGATCAAATCCCTATCCAATCTAGTGTCTAGCTCAATCAATCCCAGCAACATTCCTCCTCCGTGCAGCAGCAGCAACAACAACATCCTGCCGACGGATCTCCCCTCGACCCTAACGGATCCCATCAGCGCCAACCTCACCTCGTGTCTATGCAAAAGACTGGACAGCAACGATAACAATTCCTGCGATCCAAACTGCCTATCGCGCGTTCCTGAGCCCCAGCCGTCTACATCGACGGCCAGTTTACACCGCACGGCTCACAACCCCATCGCACGTCATAAAACGAAGGTCCAAACTCTTCGGAAGCACTACAGCTTCGATAGTACCACCCTAGCGAAAACGGATCTTGAAACCGTTCAACCCGTGGCTTCGTCGTCTGCCCCAAACTCCCCGCAACGCCCGGATCAGACCCTAGTGCACCATTCGCACCAACATCAACATTATCACCCGCACCACCACCAACACCACAGTCATCAATCTCAACCCCAGCCCGGTCCAAGCAACGCACCTCGAGCCCTCAACGGTGACGCCTCGAGCATAGAGAACCCCGCCCTGGCGGAAGCCTCCCGTAACCTTACGCAAACCCTGCGGAAACTGTCCAAGCGGGTGTTTACCAACAAGGTCAGCGAAGCCGCCGCGCAAGAACAAGCTCGCAACGTGAGCTCCGGGGCCGTCATCGAATCCATGAAGCACCACGGAAAGGGAATTTACTCGGGAACCTTCTCGGGCACGTTAAATCCGGCCTTGCAGGACAAGTTCGGTCGCCCTAAGAGAGACATCTCCACCATCATCCACATCCTGAACGACCTGTTGAGCGCTGCGCCGCAGTGCGCTCGAACCGGGACCAAGATCTATTTCGAGCCCTCGCAATCGGCAAGTTCCGCGACCGCAGTAGCCACGAACCAGGTGACAGCTGGAGCGAATGCATCCAATGGAGGCGCTTCTAGCAACAGCAGTAGTAGTGCCAGCAGTGGAAGCAATCTGCAAGCAGCTGCCCTGATGGCGCCCACAACCCTAACAACTCCGGTGGCGGCGCTCAGTCCACGCTTGGTGTCACGATGTGTAAGTAAAGACAAATCACATAAAATATTCATCTGGATCCAAAACCCTGACACGCATGACGATTCTATCACTCTCTCTCTCTCTCTCCCCCCGCCCATCCAGGTACCGGCGTCGATACAGACCAAAAAGTATCCCAGCAACGGAACGACCAACACCATCGCTAGCATCGGCTCAACTAGCAGCAACAGCAGCTGCAGTGGCTGCAAACCCGCAGAACCGCCAACCCCCGGTAGTAGCAACAGTGGCGCCACGGCCTCCACCTTTGCCCGCTGCCATCACCATCCGAAAGCCGCCCTGAAAGTGCTGTGCAAATGTGGCCACCCACTGACGCCCACCGCTTCTTCATCGACAAGCGCCCAACCACAACATTGCCAACGCTGTGCCGCCGCAATTAGTGCAGCCGAGTTGGAAAACTCCAAAACCAAATCCAAGCTAGACAATCTCCGCCTGATTATGCAGCAGAAGAAGGAACGCCGCGAAGCACGTAAGCAAAAGTGTGCGCCGTACAGTACCACCGCCGTGGCCTCCCCACTAGCATCATCATCGACCGTCGTCGGACTCCGTGGAACGACGGCGGTGAAGGCAGCGGAGGTGGCACTCACCACTTCCCGTCACCCCGCCACCATCGCCACCTTAGCAACTCCGTCGGTGGCTGATGGAGTGGTAGAGACAATGGAAACAACTCCGGCCATTATGGCGAGCAACAGTGACGGAGCAGCATCAGAAAGCAACAACAACAACAACAACAACAATGGCAGCATCAGCAGCAGTAGCAACGGAGCAAATTCGGCCACTGCCACCGCTACGGCCACCACCACTACTACAGCGGCGGCTACGGCAGCGGCGACGGCGGCTGCAACGTCTTCGGAGGCGGCTCAAAGTCACCAGATCGTGGAAGAGGTTGATACTGTTGCATAAGGTGAGTCGGTATTTGAATGTGTGGGACATGCGAGAAACATGGGGAGAGAGCGAGACATGGGCACTCACAGAGAGAGAGAGAGACCATGAAATCTGTGCCGCTCTCAGTGGATTGATTGATGATGAACTTTCTTATTGGATTGGAGAGTCATTGTGACTTGCTTTTACGCGAATCTGGCCATCTTGTGGTGAACATTCGAAGCTTTGAAATCGTTAAGGAAAATTATAAGAAGTTGTAAGGAATTTCTTATAAGAGAATACTATCCAATGGTAAGCAATTTGAGCTGTCTCTTGGAGTAGTTGGATAAAATTAAACGGAAAGTGAAGAAGTTTGAAGCTAATAGCGAATTCGTTTATTATCGGGGTTGAAACCAGCAGTGCGAAATCGAACTTTTTGTCAGTGCGAACCTCAAACCTGAGCTAGGTTTTAGAAACAAACGTTTGTCAGAAAACAAGCAGACCCAATATTGATACCCGATCCAGGTTGGAACTGAATAATAAACGAATTTGCTATAAGTCTTCCAATATTCGTTCAAGGAAACTATGGAAAAGATGAGTTCATGAATAGCAAGAAGAACTTGCAGACGATGTTTGGAGAATGTTCAGGATTTTTAGGAGAAGTTTTGAGAACTTCCAGAGGAAGCTTGCACGCCGAATGAGAACGACCCAAATTTGAGTTTAGTTCACTCATAATCGCCAAAAGTGCAGGAACTCAGCGATGAGTAAATTTGTCTCGTGGTTTCCTGTGGAAAACCTAAAAAATCTGCCGGAAAATGCGGAAATTGATGAAAATTTTATTCAGTCTCGGAGTAGTACCAATAGACTGAGTGAATTCAATCTTTACTTTTCTCAAATTCGGGAATTTTTCTTTGAAAAACCTGGTAAAACATGAGACAAATTTTACTCATAGCTGAGTTCCTGCACTTTTGGCGATTATGAGTGAACTAAACTCAAATTTGGGTCATTCTCATTCGCCGTGTGAACACCTTTAGACGACTTATTCTTCCTCTTTTTTTCCTTTATTTAACGCCGGTCTCTGTTCCGCAATCTAGTGTCTAGTGCCGATCACCAACGGACATCGATTGAAATCCATTGACGGCAATCGAATGAGCAGGATGGCAGCTTCCACACCTGAGTAGGATATCGCACCCATTCAACACACATGGGCTTTACTTCCCTTCCGAAAGAAGACGTTACCAGATATTTTTATGTCTCAGAAAAGTCCAACCGACCACGGCTGGAATAGCCGACTTATAAAAGAAGCTAGACAATTAACAGAAACAACTTTCAAAGGAAGTATCTGAACAACTTCCAGAGAAAGTTTGGAACAACTTTCAGCAGAAGTTTCGAACAACTGCAAAAGGAAGTTTGAAAAATTTCCAAAGGACGGTTGAAACAATTTCTAGTGGAAGTTTGAAACAACTTCCAGAGGAAATTTGAACAACTTTGTGGGGAATTTAGAACAACTTCCAGGAGAAGTTTGAAACAACTTCCAGGGGAAGTTTGAACAGCTTCTAGAAGAAGTTTTAAAAACTTCCAGAGACTGTTTGGTCAACTTTCAGAAGTTTGAACAGCTTGCAGGGAAAGTTTGAAATAACTTTCAGAGCAAGTTTGAAACAACTTCCAGTGGAAGCTTGAAACAACTCCCGGAGGAAGTTTGAACAGCTTCTAGAAGAAGTTTTAAAAACTTCCAGAGACTGTTTGGTCAACTTTCAGAAGTTTGAACAGCTTGCAGGGAAAGTTTGAAATAACTTTCAGAGCAAGTTTGAAACAACTTCCAGTGGAAGCTTGAAACAACTCCCGGAGGAAGTTTGAACAGCTTCTAGAAGAAGTTTTAAAAACTTCCAGAGACTGTTTGGAAAACTTTCAGAAGTTTGAACAGCTTCCAGGGAAAGTTTGAAATAACTTTCAGAGCAAGTTTGAAACAACTTCCAGTGGAAGCTTGAAACAACTCCCGGAGGAAGTTTGAACAGCTTCTAGAAGAAGTTTTAAAAACTTCCAGAGACTGTTTGGACAACTTTCAGAAGTTTGACCAGCTTGCAGGGAAAGTTTGAAATAACATTCAGAGCAAGTTTGAAACAACTTCCAGTGGAAGCTTGAAACAACTCCCGGAGGAAGTTTGAACAGCTTCTAGAAGAAGTTTTAAAAACTTCCAGAGACTGTTTGGACAACTTTCAGAAGTTTGAACAGCTTCCAGGGAAAGTTTGAAATAACTTTCAGAGCAAGTTTGAAACAACTTCCAGTGGAAGCTTGAAACAACTCCCGGAGGAAGTTTGAACAACTTCCGGAGCTAGTTTGAAACAATTTTCAGAGGAAGATTGAACAACTTCCAGAGGAAGTTTGAAGAACTTCCAGAGGAAGATTGAACAAATTCGAGGGGAATTTTGAATAACTTCCAGGGCAAGTTTGAACATCTTCCAGGGGAAGTTCGAACAACTTCTACGGGAAGTTTGTAACAACATTCAAAGCAAGTTTGAACAACTTTCAGTGGAAGTTTGAAACAACTTCCAGCGGAGGTTTGAAACAACTTCCAGAGGTGGTTTGAAACAACTTCCAAAGGAAATTTGAACAACTTCCGGAGGGAGTTCGAACAACTTCCAGAGCAAGTTTGAAACAATTTCCACAGGAAGATTAAACAACTTCTAGATGAAATTTGAACAAATTCGAGGGGAATTTTGAACAACCTTTAGGGGGACTTTGAATAACATTCAGCGCAAGTTTGAACAAATTCGGGAGGAATTTTGAACAAATTCGGGAGGAAATTTGAACAATTTACAGAGGAAGTTCGAAACAACATCCAGGGGAAGTTTTAAAAACTTCCAGATGAAGTTCGAACAACTTCGTGGTGAATCTAGAACAATTTCCAGAGGAAGTTTGAACAACTTCGTGGGGAATTAAGAACTGTCGGAGGATTATGCGCAGCGAGAGTAATGCTACAACGTCTGTTGTGTGGAAGAAACGAGAAGGAACTAAAACTTTATTCTTACTGTCAGTTACATGGGGTCGTGTGCTGTAAGCTACACTGTATCAAATCTAGTAATTCAAATCATTAACTTCATTCGTTGCTGGCATGGTTGTGCCAACACTTCTCCTCAACGCATAGAAGTTTACATGACACCGAGTGACTTACGGTGCCGCTCCAGCTTGATCCTGTCCAGTGGCTTGGTCATGATGTCCGCAACCATTTGATCCATTGGTAGATAACGGAGATCAATGACTCCCCGTTGGCGTAGATCCTTCGTGAACTCGTGTTTTGTATCGATGTGTTTGGACCGGCGCTCCATGCGGTCCGACTCCACCATTTTTATACAGGACTGATTGTCCTCCCACACGAGTATGGGGTCCGAGCTGTCTTCTGCAAGATCCTTGAGAATCTTCTTCATCCATAGTAATTCCTGGCAGCCTTCCGATAGGGCCACAAACTCGGCCTCGGTGGACGACAGGGCGACGCAATTTTGCTTCCGCGTGGCCCAGCTCACTACGCCACCGTCGAACTTGATGACCTGACCGGAATTCGACTTCCGATCGCCTTCATTTTCGGCCCAATCCGCATTGACGAAGCACTCGAGACCTTCGGCTCCGCCACCCAGGTGCAGACGGAAGTTCTTGGTCCCCTAGAGGTACCTCAGCGTACGTTTAGCTTCTGTCTAGTCGCGATCTGACGGATTTGACACCTTCCTGCACAGTAGCGAAGTCCCGATGCTGATGTCCGGCCTGGTATTGACCGCGACATATAACAAACTGCCCACCAGCGAACGATAGGACGTGTTCGTTGGCAGGGCTGTCTCCTCCGTTCGTTTTATATAGCCTGGGTCAAGCGGTATCTTCGACATCTTAGCGTCCCCATGTCCGAAGCTTCCGAGCAGCTTCTCGATGTAGTTTCCTTGGTTCATGGTGTAGTGCCCGTGGACCTTTTCGATGTGGATTCCGAGAAATTGACGCAGATCTCCCAGAGAATACAGCTTGAAATGTTTCTCCAGGGCGGTCCGAATTTGCTCGAACTCCTTTTCCGAGTGGCAGAAGACGACCATATCGTCCACGTAAATCACGATGAAGCACCTTTTCCCGTCCTTGTTCTTTTTCACGTAAAGGCACGAGTCTGCCTTGCCGGGCTCGAAACCCATCTGCTTGAAGATGCCGTCGATTTTCGAATTCCAAACCCTCGCCGTAGAGGCAACGCTTCAAGTGGCACACCAAATTGCCGTCCGATTGGAATCCTGGGGGCTGCTTCATAAAGATAACTTCTTCGAGGTCGGCATAAAGGTAGGCGCACTTGATGTCCAGGTGTTTTGCCATCATGCCGTCTCGACTCGCGATCGTTAGTAGCGTCCTGAGGGTTGTTTGCTTCACTACTGGTGCGAACACCTCATCGTAGTCCGTACCGTAGCGCTGTGTGAACCCTTGCGCTACCAGCCTTGCCTTGTGTCGTACAACTTGACCGGTCTCGTCCTCCTTCTCCTTGAACGTCCACTTGCAGCCGATCGCTATTCTTCCAGGAGGCAGTTGCACCAGTTCCCAGGTCTGATTCTCGACGAGTGCGCCGATCTCCTCCTCCATCGCTGTCTGCCAGACAGCCTTTTCGGGGCGTTGGACCGCTTCCTCGTACGTTCGTGATTCCTTCACAAAATGCTTCGTCACGCTGGTCATCTCGTCGAACCGTTCCGGCGGGATACCTTTATTGGCCCGTTCGGATCTTCTGGGTTCGCGTTCGTGGTCTTCCTGTTCGTTGGCTTCTTCAATACCGCGCACAGGATCGACGTCACTGAAACCATCAAAATCTGCTTCGGACTCCGCAGTACCAAACTCGTCATCCTTATCTTCTTCCGCTACGGATTCGGCAACGGGCTCGATTTTCTTCAGTACCGAGTCAAACACTATTATCTCCTCCTGGCTGCAGACAGGGGCCGGCTTCACGATTGGCTTCTTCTTCTTCTTATGACCAACCTCGGCAGGCACTTCCGTAGCACTTTCGATGAACCTGACGTCACGGCTCACTATCAC